CTTCCCACCCAGGAAGCTTCATCAGTTGTACTGGACGGTGGGGGAGATGGAAGAATTAGTTCTGACAGGAAGGGTGGGGGGAGGAAATGGAAAGATTGTATTTCTTTGCAGTCATCTGGTTTTAACCATCTTTGAGAGCCATTGAGGCTACTTTGGGGTTTTATCTGTGCCCTCATGACTGCATTATGTACTGGAGATAGGCGGTGTCAAATTCATAGACCAGTGATGGCGAACCTTTTAGAGAAAGAGTGCCCAAACTGCAACCCAAAACCCATTTATGCATCGTTGGGTGCCGGGTGGGTGTGGCCCATTGGGTGGGCGTGGCTGTGGTAGTAATAACAGCAGACTGGGTGGGATTAAAAAGTTCAATCAATTCCAACTTTGCAAGATCTTTTTTTTCCCCGCAAGAAGTTGAAATTGACTGACTGATTGAACCTTTTTTTTTTTTTTGCACATGGCGGCGGAGGCGTAAAGCGAAAAGGTTTTATAAAACCCAGCTGAAGGCCTAGGACTGGGGCGACGGCGTGCGTGCCCACAGAGAGGGCTCTGTGTGCCACCTCTGGCACCCGTGCCCTAGGTTCGCCACCACTGTCATAGACATTAAGCATCTTGTTGGAGATGCAGGATGAAACACACAGGAAGGGAAAAAGAGAGTGTGGCACAACTTCCCTCAGGGGTATCATTTGTACAGATAGTCTTCAACCTATGACCACAGTTCAGCCTGAAATTTCTGTTGCTGCGTGAGACACTTGTTAATTGAGTTTTGCCCCATTTGACAATCTTTCTGGCCACAATTGTGAAGTGAAACCGGCTTCCCCGTTGACTTTGCTTATTGGAAGTTCGCAAAAGGGGATCGCGTGACCCCGGGACACAGCGACGGTCATCAGTATGAGTCAGTTGCTAAGCATTTGAATTTGGATCGTGTGAAATGGTTGTAGGTGTGAAAAGCGGTCATATAAGAAACGGTTTTAGTGCCGTTGTAACTTTGAAACTGTCACTTAAGTGAACTGCCCTAACAAGTCAAGGACTACCTGTACTTTTCTAGCGAGGAGTGCATTGTTCATGTGCTGCCCATCTGGGAGAGCAGCATGGGTACCACGTGGCATCCTGGAATTGCTGGAGACAAGGACAAAAATTTACACCCTCACAATCTGGGCCATGGTGGAGGAGAGAGACAGCCCTTTTTATGGAGACATTTCCTGTCTATCTTGCTGTTTGTCTGTGTGTGCTCTTTTGTCCTTGCACCTGTGAGATGTTTGTGAGGCTTTTTGTTCACATCTCTGCTTCCCCCTGTATTTCTCTTGAGGCCTCCCTAAACACGAAAACACACCCGCCAAGTCAAGGTTGTAAGGCCAGGATCAGAATTGGGTGCCCTTCAGGTGTCTTGGACCAGCATCGATTGTTGTCTCCTGGTGTACCCAGATGGCGATGGGGATGGATGCTTCAGACTTTTAATTCTGTGGTTGAACGATGTGAGGATGTGATACGGGATGAAACGGGGGAGGAATAATCGACAGCGTGTAATCATTTTAAAGTGAGGAACTTTGCCACTCAGATGCATCATTTATGCAACCTGGAAAAAAAAAAAGAGTCCTTCTGAATGTCACCAGGGGATTATCTTCAGGCAGAATTCTGTGTGTGGTTTTGAGATGCTGGATAAACACTTTGGATGGGGCCAACATAATAATAATAATAATAATAATAATAATAATAATAATAATAATAATAATAATAATAATAATAATAATAATAATAATAATAATAATAATAATAATAATACACAACTGGGGTCGTTAAGCATGAAAAACAGTCGCTAGGTCCCTTTTTTTCCACGCTTAACGACCCCAGGGTCGTTGCAGCATCCCCAGGGTCACGTGATCAAAATTCAGACGCTTGGCAACTGATTCATATTTATGACAGTCACATTGTCCCCGGAGTCATGTGATCACCTTTTGCAACCTTCTGACAAGCAAAGTCCATGGGGAAGCCAGATTCACTTAACAACCGGGTTACTGTCTTAACAACTGCAGCGATTCACTTAAGTGTGGCAAGAAAGGTTGTAAAATGGGGCAAAATTCACTTAACAAATGTCTCGCTTGGCAACATAAATTTGGGGCTCAATTGTGATCATAGGTCAAAGGCTACCTGCAGTCCATCAGCCCAGGTCCTCCTCTATCAGAGTATTATCTCTCACATCCTCTCTGATAGACCTTTGTGTCCCCACATTTAGAATAGAATAGAATAGAATAGAATAGAATAGAATAGAATAGAATAGAATAGAATAGAATAGAATATAGAATAGGAATAGAATAGAATAGAATATGGAATAGGGATAGAATAGAATAGAATAGAATAGAATAGAATTGAATATGGAATAGGAATAGAGTTAGAATAGAATAGAATAGAATAGAATAAGAATAGAATAGAATAGAATAGAATAAGGAATAAGAATAGAATAGAATAGAATAGAATAGAATAGAATAGAATAGAATAGAATAGAATAGTGGACTGGACTGGACTGGACTGGACTGGACTGTAGAGTAGAGTAGAGTAGAGTAGAGAGTAGAGTAGAGTAGAGTAGAGTAGAGTAGAGTAGAGTAGAATAGAATGCAGAATGGAATGGAATGGAATAGATCACCTGTTATTCTATTCTATTAGTTTTTAATTAACACAAACCTTTCCCCATTTTAAAATGCATTGAGTGGAAAGCGATGCAATTAAGACTGCAGATAAGTCACAAATTTAAAGCTCAGTTTATTTCGAGTTTGTGTTTGTGCAAGGTTGTATACAGTGGCTCTTGGCGTTTATCGTTGGATAATACTGATGAACCTTGGAATCGCGTTAAGCCTATTAGCGTGGAGGTTTCTACTATTTAGCATTTATTTAACACGGCTGAAGCATGCTGTGGGAAGAACACAGTTCTAACACTGACCTGGGGCCTTTTGTCTCTGTGCTGTTTATAAAAGTGTTTAATATTTTGCGTGTTGTCCTACAGGCAGGGAAAGGGGATTGTTAAGAGGTATAAATACCTGTATGGCACCAATCGGGACTGGGTTCACTGAAGCGCTGTGTATCTTCCTAAGATTGCGTGCAGTCACCGAATTGTCTGTATTGAGGCCGTGCAACCTGCTATTTTTTTTAATGCGTTGTAATCCACACACCCTGGATGAAGCTGTTCCTATAAGGGATTCTCCAACAACACCTCTCATGCCCTTCTCTTTTCACATTTTACTTTGCTGGTTTTTGTGTTACTCCGATGTCCTCTTGTTTACGCCTCTGTGGAATAAAGCTGACTTCTGAGGATGGGAAGGACTATTAGTCAAGCTTCAAAGGAGTAGAAGGAGATCGCCCAGCCTTTCCTACAGCTCTTAGCTGCTAAGCAAGGCTTTCCACCTGCTGGCCACTGACCATTATCGTTCAGATTATAGTCTGCATAAAGCAGTTAGGCAGATGAATAGTTCTAGACGGCTCACATAAATATGCCAAAATTATAATAAAGGGTCCTTGGTGGTCTCTGAGGTTGGTTGTTTTCTTGCAGACTTTTCATTACCCAAACTAGGTAACGTCATCATCGGTGCTAGTCACCAGCACTGGCATCCAGCACTCCTCATTGCAACCCAGAGCTACAAATATTCTCCTTTATTGGGACAACATTATAATAAACACACACGCAAACACACGAACAGGCCCCGGTGGCAGGGCTAGGTCAACCATATTTGGGCAAAAATACTGGATAGCCACTAGCCGATAGCAAAGAACGCTTACTCTAATGCAGGGCTTTTCAACCAGTGGTACGGGTACCACCTGTGGTACATTGGCACCTGGCAGGTGGTATGCAACCATCCTAGAAAAGTGGTAGCGGGGGAGGGGAATGAGCTGAACCGGTGGCAGCACCGCACAAGCCTGAGCGAGAGACGGCTGGAGCTGCAGGGCTGTCAGGGCTCAGTGGAAGCGCCAGGATCAGCGCCAGGCTCCAGCTGGAGCTCAGCGCTGATCCTGGCGCTTCTGCTGAGCCCAGAAGAAGCGCCGATCAGCTGGAATGTTGCAGCATCTCCAGGGTCTTGTGATTTACATTCAGATGCTTGGCAACTGATTCATATTTATGACGGTCACAGTGTCCCAGGGTCATGTGAAGTGACCAAAACCTGCTGC